CTTCATGAAGTTATCTCGTCATCTATTACTTCTACTACTATGGCTAATGGTTTAGCAATAAAGTAAAGTAATTACATGACGTTATATGTTGACACGCATGTCATAAATAAATTAAGACAACTCCTATGGCTCCTGCCGGTTGTCATACTCATCGACATGCAAGTCGTGATTCCTATTACAAGAACATGATCAATCTCATACATCACATATATCATTCATCACATCCTTTTGGCCATATCCCATCACACGGCACATGCTGCAAAAACAAGTTAGACGTCCTCTAATTGTTGTTGCAAATTTTTACGTGGCTGCTATAGGTTTCTTAGCAAGAACGTTTCTTACCTACGCCAAAACCACACGTGATATGCCAATTTATATTTACCCTTCATAAGGACCCTTTTCATCGAATCCGATCCGACTAAAGTGGGAGAGACAGACACCTGCTAGCCACCTTATGCAACTAGTGCATGTCAGTCAGTGGAACCAGTCTCATGTAAGCGTACGTGTAAGGCCGGTCCGGGCCGCTTCATCCCATGATGCCGCCGAATCAAGATAAGACTAGTAGCGGCAAGTAAATTGACAAAATCAACGCCCACAACAACTTGTGTTCTACTCGTGCATAGAAACTACGCATAGACCTAGCTCATGATGCCACTGTTGGGGAACGTAGCAGAATTTAAAATTTTCTACGCATCACCAAGATCAATCTATGGAGTTATCTAGCAATGAGGGAAAGTGGAGTGCATCTACATACCCTTGTAGATCGCGAGCGGAAGCGTTCAAGAGAATGGGGTTGATGGAGTTGTACTCGTCGTGATCCAAATCACCGATGACCGAGCGCCGAACGGACGGCACCTCCGCGTTCAACACACGTGCGGTTGGGAAGACGTCTCCTCCTTGATCCAGCAAGGGGGAAGGAGAGGTTGATGGAGATCCAGCAGCACGACGGCGTGGTGGTGGAAGCAGCGGTGATCTCGGCAGGGCTTCGCCAAGCTCAGCGAGAGGGAGAGGTGTCACGGGAGGGAGAGGGAGGCGCCAGGGGCTAGGGTGCGCAACCCTCCCTCCCTCCTCTTTATATAGGGGTCCAGGAGGGCGCCGGCCCCTCTAGATCCCATCTAGATGGGGGGGCGGCCAAGGGGGGTGGCTTGCCCCCCAAGCCAAGTGGGGCGCCCCCACCCCTAGGGTTTCCAACCCTAGGCACAGGGGAAGGCCCAAGGGGGGCGCACCAGCCCATCAGGGGCTGGTTCCCCTCCCACTTCAGCCCATGGGGGCCTCCGGGATAGGTGGCCCCACCCGGTGGACCCCCGGGACCCTTCCGGTGGCCCCGGTACAATACCGGTGACCCCCGAAACTTTCCCGGTGGCCGAAACTGGACTTCCTATATACAATTCTTCACCTCCGGACCATTTCGGAACTCCTCGTGATGTCCGGGATCTCATCCGGGACTCCGAACAACTTTTGGGTTACCACATACTAATATCTCAACAACCCTAGCGTCACCGAACCTTAAGTGTGTAGACCCTACGGGTTCGGGAGACATGCAAACATGACCGAGACGACTCTCCGGTCAATAACCAACAGTGGGATCTAGATACCCATGTTGGCTCCCACATGCTCCTCGATGATCTCATCGGATGAACCACGATGTCGAGGATTCAATCAATCTCGTATACAATTTCCTTTGTCAATCGGTACGTTACTCGCCCGAGACTCGATTGTCGGTATCCCAATACCTCGTTCAATCTCGTTACCGGCAAGTCACTTTACTCGTACCGTAATGCATGATCCCGTGATCAACCACTTGGTCACATTGAGCTCATTATGATGATGCATTACCGAGTGGGCCCAGAGATACCTCTCCGTCATACGGAGTGACAAATCCCAGTCTCGATTCGTGCCAACCCAACAGACACTTTCGGAGATACCCGTAGTGCACCTTTATAGTCACCCAGTTACGTTGTGACGTTTGGCACACCCAAAGAACTCCTACGGTATCCGGGAGTTGCACAATCTCATGGTCTAAGGAAATGATACTTGACATTCGGAAAAGCTCTAGCAAACGAACTACATGATCTTTAAGCTATGCTTAGGATTGGGTCTTGTCCATCACATCATTCTCCTAATGATGTGATCCCGTTATCAATGACATCTAATGTCCATAGTCAGGAAACCATGACTATCTTTTGATCAACGAGCTAGTCAACTAGAGGCTCACTAGGGACGTGTTGTGGTCTATGTATTCACACATGTATTACGATTTCCGGATAACACAATTATAGCATGAACAATAGACAATTATCATGAACAAAGAAATATAATAATAACCATTTTATTATTGCCTCTAGGGCATATTTCCAACAATATTTCCAATAGTTATGTATCCTTATGGTAGTTTTTCTCAATAAAAAATGGCACTGTATGGAAACTATATAAACTTGGTGGGCCTTACAAACACCGGGTCCATTTTTAGGTGAAAATTCGTGATACAACTTTTAGAAAACCTGGGAATCAACTTTTTTCACACACAAAATGAATAAAAACCAGAGAGAGGGGGGGGGGAGATTGCATACAATTACTAGGTTCGTGGGTCTTGCACGATTACCTGTTAGTTGCCAGAGAATTTATCGTATAAGTTACCATGCTTATATATTCATCGATTGAGTCTCCAACAATCATTCCAATACTTCTATTGGCCATATTGATGAATATGCAAGCATATGCTCCATGCTTACTTAAATTAGAAAAGGACATATTCAAAAACGACAAACGACAAACAACAAATCTCACAAGATCGCATGACGACTCTCTTAACTTGTCAGTTTAGTCATATTGATGAATATGCAAGCATATGTTTCATGCTTGCTTAAATTACAAAAACGACAAACGACAAATCTCACAAGATTGTGCGGCGACTCTCTTAACTTGCCAGTTTAGTAGTGATTATGGCGGCTTCCTCCATGACGATAATGCAGAAGAAGACAACATAGGAGCATACCATTTCCTCCACTAAGAACCTAATCAACTTCGTCAACCCTAGCTTGCACCATCTTGATAGGATGCCACTGTCAGCTCGATGCTGGAGACTGGTATTTGTCAAATTTCATTGGCTCCTCCATGGTATTTCCCGGGGTTCTCATAATGCCCCCCCCCCCTTTTCCTATGTTTAGGGATTGTCTATGAATTTGGACGACAATGGAGAAGAGGTTTGGATGAGAGGGAGGTGCTTGGTCGTGAAGTATCAACTAGGTTAAGTGTACGCAAAAGAATGAACGTGTCATGATGTGATGGAAGGGGTGAACGTGATGGGACGCAGAGGAGTTTGGGAAAGCACCATTTTGCAGGATCTACCATTACAGTACATTTTCTCAATCACAAAATATCCAGCATCGTATGGATATTCTAGATGCGGATTTGGAACCTTGAGGATATCCTTTGACCCTTTGGTTGAACTAAGGAGGGTCGGAGAGCTAACTCCAAATTTGCATCCCTAATGGAGAGAATTGTTCCATACTGACAACTCGTACTACCAATATCTCAAATAACAAAGATAGTATGAGCCATAAATCATCTGGTACAAACGTATAGCCAGAAAATGATGTTTTGAGGTGTGCCACCGGGTATTTCTTGATCGGGGTCTACAACCCATACCATACGTGACAAATTTAGGTTGCGATACTCCTTGCTAATCTCCTTTTGAGGGGAATATTCCTTACTAATCCGGGCTAGTCCTACAGCCGACGCGCAGCACCATCACTCCTTCCCCACCGTCGCATGAAGACACGGCCACACACACGGAGAGAAACGTGAGACTGGACGACGCGTGATCCGTTCCACCAACTCAGGAGAAGCGAGGCACGGCGCGGTGCTGGCACTGACTGTCCGCACGGATACGTCCACTCCACGGCCTCTGTCCACATCCGCGCTGCAGCAGCAGTTTCACTTGGAGTGAAAGCTTGCTCCTCCGAACTGGGCATCTTCCCGGGGAGGCGCTTCGCGGGACGAGATGCGCCTGGCCAGATGCTCCTCCTCCTCGTTCACTCCCCACCGTCCTTTTCACCGTCAGGGGGACGAGGCCAAGTTCGCCACCCCCACCCTACTCGTGCGTGCGTGCACATGGCGTTCTGTAAAACCCAAAAACGTGCTGGCTTTCGCAGAGCGCAGAGAATCCGGCCGGGGCGGAGGAGAAGATAGAAGATGTAGAAGATAGATGCAAACAAAAATCAACGGGAGGAAACGCAGACGCTTCCGACTTTCAGTTCGGGCGATGGACGGGCGGGCCTACGCGAAAGCGAGAGAAACAAACGCGAAAAGCGCGCCGGAAAGGCCAGGCACGGGACGCACATGCCCCGACTGACAGGCGGGCCACCAAGTAGCACCAGCACGCCGTCCGGTGGGCCCCACAGAGAGAGGGAGAAGCCCGTCGTTCACCGTTAACGAAGGAACGAGCGAGCGAGCGTCGCCCCTTCCCTGGCTGGCTGGCTCGCGCGGGGCCCCCGATTCACCTCGCTCGACACAGCTGTGACCCGCGATCGTGAGTAATTACGCTCTAAACTGCCAAGATCCTTCTAACTAATCGTCGTCTCAACTAAAAAAAACTAATCGTCGTCTGGTCCAGTCAGCTCACACGCAGCGGCTCCGTCCATCGATCAGATGGAGGAGGAGGGCCGGTGCACGTTAATGGCCTGCTCGTTCGTTGTTCATGCCCTCCGTCCCTATTAATACCATCCTCCTCCCTGGGCCTTTGGCTCCCTCCAAACAACCGGAGCTCGCGCCCCCCTCGATCTCCGGACAAAAATCCGCCCTTTTTACGCCCGCCTTGCCCTTTCTGGCCGCGAGAGCCTCCCCCACCCCCACCCCCGCCACGATCTCGCTCCCTCGCGTGCGCGTGTTCCCGTCGCCCTGTCTGTCCCTTTCGCCCGATTTCCTTGCGGTTGAGGAGGTTGTTGGGGCGGGCCGGGGAAGAAAAGAAGAAGTTAGCCCGCCGCGCCGCCGCCGCAGCCATGAACGCGCTCGCCGCGACCAGCCGCAACTTCCGCCAGGCCGCCCGCCTGCTCGGCCTCGACTCCAAGCTCGAGAAGAGCCTCCTCATCCCCTTCCGCGAGATCAAGGTCCCGCCGCGCTCTCTTCTCTTCTCTCCTCGCCGACCGGAGCTTGACTTTGGTTGCTTATTATCTTCGGTTGGTTTCTTTCCTTTGCAGGTCGAATGCACCATCCCCAAGGACGACGGCACGCTGGCCTCCTTCGTGGGCTTCCGCGTGCAGCACGACAATGCCCGCGGGCCCATGAAAGGTGGCATCCGCTACCACCCCGAGGTGACGGGATCTCTTCTCATCTCCTCTCCTCGTGGGATTGTCTTGCTACTTCTGTCAATTTGATTGCGATTTCTCCCGAAAGCCTAAAACAAGACGCATCGAAATAGCTCTCAAAAAAGTTATTGTGACCCTAAAAGGATAAGCAAATAACACACGCAAAAATTGCCGGATTGCTTGCCAACTTGGCATGATTTTAACATCCATTGCTCATGGTCAACGATGTCATTGTTTCTTTTTCAATTCAAAAAAAGAGGCGGATCCACGGTACTTGGCATTCTTAGGTTATTTTTGTATGCTGTGTCCAGCTCTGCTACTTGACTTTCGCCTGTATGCTTAGTTTAGGACATTATGTAGATTCTCCTTGCTGTCAATTTGTCAGGCAAATGATTTGAAGCTATAGAATCCTTTTTAATGAGAGCATGTGGCGCACCTCTGTTATTACAAGCTCATGTTTATGTCGTTAAACTGTCAAAACAATCCGGCATATCTTCGAAGTCGTTGATTCTGTAACGCCCGACAAATAATCTGTTATCGATAACGACAAAAGAATGTTGTGTAGACGGATCTTATTATTCGTTGAACCAATATTCTGCTGATATTTTGAAAGCCTATAAAGTTTGATATCCCCAAATGATAATTCGGTGAAGGAAACAATCAACTTAGCTAACATACTGACGGTTGTTTGACTGAATTACTTTTGTGAGTAAGCAGTATTTTATTAGAAATTGTTTCAAGAAGTTGATTGTTATCTGGCATATCAACTTAAGCAGTATTTAGTTAGATATTTTATTAGAAATTGTTTGACTGAATTACCTGGCATATCTTATAAGTCGTTGATTCTGTAACGCCTGACAAATAATCTGTTATCGATAATGACAAAAGAATGTTGTGTAGACTGATCTTATTATTCATTGAACCAGTATTTTGTCGGTTGTTTGACTGAATTAAACTTTTGTTAGTAAGCACTGATTTATCTAGAAATTGTTTCAAGACGTTGATTGTGTAATGCTCAGCAAATGGACTGTTAGCGATAACGACAAAAGAACATGTGCCCGATCTTGTTATTCGTTGATCCAGTATTCTGGTGATATTTTGCGAGCCTGGAAAGTTCTACATCCTTCAATGCTAATTCAGTTATTGAAACAACCAACTTAGCTAAAGAATTGTCGGTGGTTTGACTAATTACTTATGTGAGTAAGCACTATTTTATTTAGAAATTATGTCATGATGTTTTTGTGTAACCTCAGCAAATAAACTGTTATCGATAACACAAGAGAACGTGTGCCGGATCTTGTTATTTGCTGAACCAATATTCTGCTGATATTTTGAGAGCCTAGAAAGTTTGATAACCCTAAATGATAATTCAGTTAAGGAAACAATCAACTTAGCTAACGTACTGTCGGTTGTTTGACTGAATTACTTTTGTGGGTAAGCACTATCTGTCTTTTTTATTAGGAATTGTTTGAAGACTTTGCTTGTGTAACGCTCAGCAAATAGACTGTTATCGATAACGACAAAAGAACGTGTGCCTGATCTTGTTATTCGTTGATCCAATATTCTGGTGATATTGTGCGAGCCTAGAAATTTCTATATCCTTTAATGCTAATTCAGTTATGGAAACAACCAACTTAGCTGAAGTATTGTCAGCTGTTTGACTGAATTACTTATGTGAGTAAGCACTATTTTATTTAGAAATTGTTTCATGATGTTTATTGTGTGACCTCAGCAAATAAACTGTTGCTGATAACGACAAGAGAACGTGTGCCGGATTTTGTTATTCTTTGAACCAATATTCTGCTGATATTTTGCGATCCTAGAAAGTTTGTTATCCCTAAATGATAACTCAGTTAAGGAAACAACCAACTTAGCTAATGTACTGTCGGTTGTTTGACTGAATTACTTTTGTGAGCAAGTACTATTTTATTCGAAATTGTTCCACCATGTGTTGTTGTTCTTTATGTTAGATTCCGAAAAGCCAAGGCAGTAAGTCAGTTGAAGGGTTGACTGATTATCATATTTCTTCTTGTACTTAAACTGCTTGACAGGTTGATCCAGATGAAGTAAATGCACTTGCTCAGCTGATGACATGGAAGACTGCCGTTGCGGCAGTACCATATGGTGGAGCAAAGGGAGGAATAGGGTGCTCTCCCGGTGATTTAAGTAGGAGTGAGTTGGAGCGTCTGACGCGTGTATTTACTCAGAAAATTCATGACCTTATCGGAACTCATACCGATATTCCAGCTCCAGACATGGGAACTAATTCACAGGTATGTTATGCAATTTCAGTGTCTTTACTATTGTTCACTGCCTTCCTATGTTCTGCTACTAACTCTATCTGAAACCATTTTCCATACAGACCATGGCATGGATCTTTGACGAGTACTCAAAATTCCATGGTCACTCCCCAGCTGTTGTCACAGGGAAGCCCATAGTAAGTATTACCACTATAACATAAAATTATCTGCTGCATATAAACTCTTTACACATTATTACTAATATGATTACAATTTGGGCCTATTTGTTAGGATCTTGGTGGATCATTAGGTAGGGATGCGGCCACTGGGCGGGGTGTAATGTACGCTACTGAGGCTCTCCTGGCCGAATATGGGAAGTCTATTTCTGGATCAACCTTTGTTATTCAGGTGAGTTGTGATAAACCGTTGACTTCTTGAATGGTAAAAAGATAGTAGCGAGTGCCATGGTAAAATACCAAAATAAGTCTGTTCAAACATAGTGCTACTGTCAGTAGCCATCAAAATGTAGAGTTGTGCTTATTCTATGATGAAATCATGCAGGGATTCGGTAATGTTGGTTCATGGGCTGCACAACTCATCCATGAGAAAGGTGGTAAGGTAATTGCACTTGGAGATGTATCAGGCACAATCAGAAACAAAGCAGGAATAGACGTACCTGCTCTGATGAAGCACAGAAATGAGGGTGGTCAGTTGAAAGACTTTCATGGCGCTGAAGTCATGGATGCCTCAGAGTTGCTAGTGCATGAATGCGATGTCCTCCTCCCATGTGCCTTAGGCGGGGTTCTTAACAGGTAATTGCTATTATCCTTCTGCGCTTTTGATGTGGCCTAAATCATTTTCACTAGATTTCACCACACGTCACGGTTTCCCCCCTTTTCTGTTACATTTTTTGTTAAGTGTTTTCTTCTGCTAGTTTTATTGTGAATAGCAGACATAATTGATGTGCGAATATTGTGATAATCCTGACTTAACGAATTCTGCAGATAAGTTGATGCATTTTTTATCCAATCTTTGTACCTGAGAGCAACCTATTTTCTGATTGCTTCCTGGATATATAGTTTAGTTAATTGATGATTTGCTTTAATTATCTGAAGGGAAAATGCCCCTGATGTTAAGGCCAAATTTATAATCGAAGCTGCTAATCATCCAACCGATCCAGAAGCTGATGAGGTAAGAGTATATACCACCAAACAATTTACGACAATTTTTCATCCTTGAGAAACATAAAAATACAACCATTTTTCAATTCTGTTCCCTGAATGTCTCACTTTTGTTGTATGTGCTGTAGATTCTTACCAAGAAGGGAGTGGTCGTGTTACCTGATATCTATGCTAATGCTGGGGGTGTGATCGTTAGCTATTTTGAGTGGGTTCAGGTAATTGAGTATACGATGGTAGCCTTTGCCATCTCATTCCACATTATCTTTTTGCTTGAGCCGGCAGTTTCCTTATGCTTCTTTGATGGCGCAGAACATTCAAGGATTCATGTGGGAAGAAGAAAAGGTGAACATGGAGCTCCATAAGTACATGAACAGCGCGTTCCAGAACATCAAGGCCATGTGCAAGTCTCAAGATTGCAACCTTAGGATGGGAGCATTCACCTTGGGAGTGAACCGGGTTGCTCGCGCCACCATCTTGAGGGGTTGGGAGGCATGAGGAATTCCAGATTCCTTATTGAATAATCCATGCCCGGCAGCGTGGTGGATGAAAGTTCTTATATCCACCATCATTGATTTGGTAAATTCATCATAAGTTGCCGGCATGGGAAATAATTTTCGGTGTACATGACAGAGACGATGGGTTTGTTCTTTCTGTTAGCTAATTATCTGCCCTGGGTTGCCAACTATGTGATCTAGTTCTGTGTGATTGTAAACCTTCAGATTTGTTGAATGTTTACCAAAAGTTTCTGGATTTTAATATCAAAAAGGTTATTTTGGCCTCATTGGTTTCAACATTTCTGGTCTGAGATTTGATGGCCCCAAATGTAATACATTACTTTTGCAAGATTCAGGCAATTGAGAGTTTCAGCAACTTATGGCAGACAAATACTCCCTCCTATCCATATTACTTGTCGCTCAAACAGACGTAAGTGCTAGATACATCCATATTACTTGTCACTCAAACAGACATGATGGGTTTGTTCTTTCTGTTAGCTAATTATCTGCCCTGGGTTGCCAACTAAGTGATCTAGTTCTGTGTGATTGTAAACCTTCAGATTTGTTGAATGTTTACCAAAAGTTTCTGGATTTTAATATCAAAAAGGTTATTTTGGCCTCATTGGTTTCAACATTTCTGGTCTGAGATTTGATGGCCTCAAATGTACTCCCTCTGTAAACTAATATAAGAGCGTTTAGATTACTAAAATAGTGATCTAAACACTCTTATATTAGTTTACGGAGGGAGTAATAGATTACTTTTGCAAGATTCAGGCAATTGAGAGTATCGGTAACTTATGGCAGACAAATACTCCCTCCTATCCATATTACTTGTCGCTCAAACGGACGTAAGTATTTAGATGTATTTTAGTGCTAGATACATCCATTTGAGCGACAAGTAATATGGATTGGAGGGAGTATCAAAGAACTAGAACAATTGCATCTGTTTTTCTTTTCGCATGAACTGACGAGATCCATACAATTTCAGTCTCAAGGCAAACCCTCAGGATGGATGGTGGTATTGTTCAGACTTGAACTAAACTGGAGCTCCGAAAAGAAATATCCCTACCTAGTTCATACAACCCCTAAAACTGCTGAAATTCAACAACAACAACAAAAAACCTAAATCTGCCGATGATGGATAGAACACAAAAGCTATCGTCCTGTGCACTGCATTTAGGAACTCAAGAGGTGTTCTTTCAACTATGTGACGATGTTTCATGAGCTGCCATGCTTCAGAACTACGGCGCCTTTGTTGCCCCCGGCACCTGGGCAGGCAGTGCGAGGACACAGAACTTCGGACTATTTGGTACCTCATCATAAAAGTTCAGCAGAAACTGTTTGCGAGGTTTGCGGCGCGGCTTGACCTGTGCTGATCGAGCCTCATTGGGTGTAATTTCATCGTCGGCGGCAGCCATCAATGACGGTTTGCGCAACCAGCCACGGCCCTTGGGTGGAGCAGATGCAACGTTGCCACCGGCCTTCTTGTCTGCAATTGATGTCGAGGGAGAGCCGCAGGTGGATTTTGCCGGCTCTGATCTGCAGGTCCGACGACGTCGCTTGTGCTTCACAAATGGAGCTTCAGTGTCACCCTCCTTGTCGGAGGCTAGGGCCGGAGCAGAGTTTTCGTCAGCTGCCACAAGGGGCAGTTTGCAGGGCTGGGTGCTGCACTCTGGCGTACTGAATGCGGCAGGTTCCTTGGCCAAGAGCGGCCGCTTGGCTGCAGGAGCTTCACCGCCATCTTTCTCCGTGACTAATGCTGCACCAGAGCCGTCGTTGACGATCACAAGTGCCAGCCCGCGGGGTTCCCCATGGTTCTTATCAGTGACGGATGGAGCCTCAGTGCTGTCTTTCTTGTCCGTGACGAGCGCTTCGCCGGAGACGTCGGCCGCCCCTACATCCGTCAGAAGGCGAGACCGGCCACGGCGTTTGGGCATCGCGGATGGCGACCCGCTCACAAACTTCTTGCCAGAAGCCGGCTTGGGCGCCGAGCCATCCTTCCGAGGCCGACCGCGGCCGCGCTTGGCCCCTGTCATCGGAGGCCAAGCACTCACCGCCACCGCAGCGGCCTGCGAATCATCCCTCCTAGGCCGACCGCGCCCACGCTTGACCACCACCAGCGAGTCATCCTTCCTAGGCCGACCGCGGGCGCGCTTGGGCTGTGCCGCCGCCGCCAGGACCTCGGTGAGTGCGAGCTCGGGCTGGGGCTCGTCATCGGAGCAGCAAGAGTACCGCCCAGGCGCGGCGCAGACGAAGAGGCCCTCGGCGACGTGCTTGGCGAGGTAGTAGCGGAGGAACCTGTCGTGCGCGGCGGGGACGCCGGGGTACCTGCCGCGGATGAAGCCCGAGATGGCGGACTCCGCCGGGCCGCCGTCCTCGCCCAGCGCCTGGATCGCCTCTTCGATCATCTGCAACCAGACGAGGATGCAAACGTCAAACCAGCGGCGGCAGCCCATCCAAACCCCATTGCCATTGAACAACCAACCAGATTGAGAGCAAGCGATTTCTCCTCACATCGGAGGCGATACTCGATTTTTCTTTCCGAATCAACGAGGAGCATCTGTCGCTGGCGATGCTCAATTAGCGATTTCCTAATTCGATTCGGGTGGGTGGGTGGAGATTAAAGAGCAAATCCAACTGTTCTCCCGGTGGAGAGAGAATCGACCGAATAAGCGGGGAGGAACAGGTAGGCGATTAATCGAGCGGGGAGGAGTGATTACCCATGAATACGGTGGATGATCCGGCGTGGGATCCCGGCGCTTGGGCGCGGCGGCGGCGGCGGCCGGCGCCGACGAGGACGGCTCCCCCAGCGTCGCCTGCCCCGCCGCGACGGCCAGCATTGCGCGGCGGGGGGCGGGCGGATCGGTGGGAGGGAGGGGGAGGAGACCAGGGGCGGAAAGTGGAGGGCGCAAATCTAGAAGAGACGAGAGGCAGGTTTAAGGAGGGGGAGAAGGAAGGAAGCGGAGGAACGCGTCTGGTGTTTCTGGGTTCCGGGGAAAGGAAAGCCCGACCTGTTGGGACCATATTGCCCTTGCTGTAAGTGATTCGCCTCTTCTGTCGTCGTCTCCGATGTTGGGTGGAGATATTTCGCAGCAGAACGCTCGAGATCGAATCGCCATGGGCTCCTCTTCCTTCATCCCGGAGTATAATAAATCATCAAGAGATAAGAGCATGGTTAATAGTATAGCCAATTGCTGGCTATAAGCCATTGCCATGTTATCTATAGTCCATCTTATAGCCAATATGTACAATAGTTGATTAGAAAAGTGTACTACTTTTTTATTATATGGTCCACCTTTCACTCACACAAAGTGCCTAGGAGCACGTGCTAGAGCTGGCTCTTCACCAAGAGTCCGCTTCCCTTCTCTCTCTTCTTCTCTTTCCTCCAACTAAGCAAGAATATACTAGTTTATTTCTTATAGCCAGCTGACTCAGCTCTATTGTACTTGCTCTAAAAGCACACGGATATCCTAACTTACACAAAATACGATGATTTAGTCCTAAAGTTACAAAACTTAATCCCACCATACCTCAACTTGCACTCAATTGACTTTTAATCCCTTACCAATGACAACTGGAAAACTGGCAGCAGGTGGACAGTCTGGTCGTCGCACACACTTTTGCAAAAAAAAAACCTACCGTTTTCTGTAATCAACCCGCAGGACACAACACCTGAATTAACTCTGTCGGAATCGAGTTTGCGTCCGCCTCCAACTCCACTCGTTCCCCATCTGCCCCCCTCAGCTCCAGCTCCAGCTCCACGCCGCCAGCAAGCTCGCCGCTCGCCGCCATGGTATCTAGGAGTGAAGGATCCAACTCTTCGTCCGACGGCGACTCTATCGCAAGTGAGGTTCGTCACTATGCCTCTGCCAGTTAGGGTTAGAGCAAAAAATAGGCAATTTTCCTGACTAGAATATGTTGTAGGCTCTTGCTCGTGCCACCATTTTCTGCTTTGAGTGGAGAGGCCTTGCTCCAGATCTTGCAGCTAGATGTGAACACCAAGATGTCTGTGAGAAGTTTGTGTCTTTTGAATCAGTTGACAATGGGAGGAGGTATCTTGCTTGTGCACAAAAGGTTAGTAGATCTACAGTTAATTCCAAACTAGGAATGTGACATCTTACTGTGATCTGTATAAGCCTAGAGTGTGGCATGTAACCTTGGATGAGTGCAGAAATATAGTTAACTGACGAAAATTCAGTTAACTGAAGAAAACTGCAGTTAATTAACTGAATTTTTCAGTTGATTGCATCTTGTTATTTGCAGAAGTTTTGGTTATGTTAAGAATTGATATTGTGTGTTGTGCCATAGTGATGTAACTCTATTGAATGCCTGACAGTGCAATTAATTTATATTTCCCCAAGTTATGTTGTAAGAGCAGATCAATAGTGCTCCAAGCTTTTTCATTTATCTAAAAATGTTTGTTCTTTCTTATTTTGTAGAAAATACCTAAATGCAACTATGTGGAGTGGATTGACCCTAAATGACCTGCCATTCTGAAGATGAGTTTAGCCAGGGTTTGGGGCATGTATGAAGATGAGAACGAGCAAAGGATCACTCAGAATTTAGCCCTTGATGAAGAAAATGTTAAGGTTGTGAGAGAGAAGGAAAAGATGGAACAAGATCTGAGGTTTTTTAAACTTGATTTTGCTAAGATGGTGGCTGAGAAGGAGCAGACAATAACTGAATTGGGCAATGCAAAACTTGCTCTTTCTGACCTAAAGTAAGAGCTTGAGAAGAAGATGTCTGATAATTCTACCACTAGTATTCATCAGGTTGTGAGGGCTAAGGGAGAGAAAGAGAGGGATGAGATGAAGCAACATATGGACAACATGAAGGAAGAGATGGACAAAGTGGTGTCACAGAGGGATGAGCTGAAGAAGGAGAAGAAGAAACTAGAGTACATGATTGGTGATTTATTCAGGCACAAGGAGGAGAATAAGAGCAAGATAAGGAGGGTGAAGAAGATCTTAGATGAATTTGAGTAATTCATTGTAGGTGTAATGATGCCTTTAGTTGGAGCTATTAATTAGTTGTAATGAATTTGTTGATGTAATGCCACTATTATGTAATGCACTGAATTTGTATGACTACTTTTAGTTAACTAAATTTGTATGACTGCTTCTAGTGTTACTAGTTATCTGAATGTCTCCAGATAAGTGCATTTTTTGCAGTGTCAGTGAACTGTACATGCAGTTAACCTAAGATCCAATTAACTGAATTTGTAGTTAACTAAAGTTCAGTTAACTGAAGATTCAGTTAACTAGATCTTAGTTAACTGCATGTCCAGTTCTCTAAAGATTCAATTAACTACAAATTCAGTTATCTGAAGATTCAGTTAACTGAATCTTGGGTTAACTACAAATTTAGTTATCTGAAGATTCAGTTAACTACAAATTCAGTTATCTGAAGATTCAGTTAACTGAATTTAAATGAGCTTTGTAAGCATTTGCAGTGCACTGAGGTTTTATGAATTTAAATGTTAACTGCCACTTGAAAGCAACACAGCAGCATGGCAAACACAGCAGCAGCAGCAGCAGCAGCAACATTGCAACTAAATGAAAGCAACAAAACAAAATATAGGCCTACAAAACTGTTGCATTCTTTTTTTGGAAAGTTGCAGCTAAAGACCACATCAAAAGTGGCACTCTATGGAAACATAGTACCAGATTACATCAACAATTGCAATGTTGCTGCTGTAGTTGAAGCAAATAAAACAATGGCATTGTAACAGCAGCATTTTAACAGAGCGTTTTATGAAAGCAAATCAAAGCAGCATGAGAATGTAGGCATTGTAAAGCAGCATAACTATATAGATAGCATCCAGATGTGCAACATAACCAGTGCAGCAAAGTTCAAACATTCCACATTACAATTAGCTTACGTGCTCTGCTTATGTAGAGCACACCTAACATAAACTAACCAAAATATCACTAACTTATATGCTGAATTATCTTGCTAGTCGCATACCTAACTACTGCATCATCTTCTTGTCTAGCATGTCCATCATCTTCAGTTCTTCTGGTGCTTCAGGCGCTCCGAGCGGCACACCTCCCCTGCAAATGGCCTCTTCTTCGTCTTCTCCGGCTCCTATGCTGCTGCCTCCACCTTCTCCTCTTCTGCGTCAGTCACCACCTCCTGCTTGACGATGTCAGGCACATCTAGGAGCACCTCAACGTCAATCAGGAGGTCTTTGTCGCCCTCCTTGGCGTTGTGGACTGGCACCGGCATCTGGATCTCGTCCTCCTCCTCTTCTTCATCGTCCGACAGGACAACGACCGACACCTCGACATCGCCAGACGAGGCATACGAGTCAGAGGAGTCTGAATCCCCTCTGTAGCCCGAGTCGTTGTCGGAGTCCACCTTGCAGTACTCCGAGTCGGACGACAGAGAGATGTCGTCGTCGTCGATGTGGACGAGGGGCAACCGTGCAAGCAGGGCCAGAACCACGTCGTGGATGCGCTACATCCTCGACCACACACGCGTCGGATCCGGCTGCGACTTGGTGGCGGACCTGTACATCCACCAATGCGCGCGCTGCCTTGGATCGTCGGAGCGCGTCTCCGCCATTGCGAAACAGAGGATGTTGGACAGAGGAACCACTAGCCTATCTCCTAGAGCTCCGCGCGTGCGACCTCGTCGCCGCCTGCCAGCTCGTCGACCATCCTCTGCCATGCAGGGTGGTTGTCCATGGCGTCGGCGGCGGTGTCGAGATGGCCAACAAGGGTTTTCTTTTGGTGGAGTGGGAGGTGGGGAGCGTAGAGCTCGAAGCGTCGTGAAACGGAAGTGGTGAGTGATGAGTGGGGGCGATGGGTGGTGGGTGGTGGCCTCTTAATAGGAGTGGAAGAGTGAACGACACCGCTCTGATTAGCACTTACAGTCTATATCAGTATAACAAGTGTAGCAATGAGTATCTAGCAAGATCACTAGTACTAGCGCACTGGCATGGAGCTCAACCTATCAAACAAAGGGTCCTGGGTTCGACACCCAGGACAAATATTTTTTTTGGAAAATTATTTTTAATTAACAACAAATGTATTCACTCCAAAATAGATCAGTATTCACTTCAAAACATTTTTAAGTTTTTTTAGTTAAAAGCAACACAATTCAGTTCAAAGCAGCAAAGTTCAATTCAGTAAACATCAACAAAGTTCAGTTCAGTTAACATCAACAAAGTTCACTTCAGGTAACACAACAAAATTTAGCAAAATTCAGTGACAACAACATTCAGATATGTTGCAACATTCAGTTAACACCTAATTATAATATTTAATTACAAAAAGGGCAATGTATGTCATGGTTTGCCATCAAAAAATTAGGCAATGTATGCCATATTTTGCTATCAAAAAAGAGGCAATGTATGTCACAGTTTGACATAACAAAAAAAGGCCAGTTTATGAGTTACATAAGTATAGGCCTTATCAAAAAATGGTGGCTGAGAACTGCCACTAGATCAGGCAATAGGAAGATCATCAGGAGGAGCATTGAGGTCAGGAATATGACTGGCAATGTCATCTCCAAACATCAGCCACCATGCCCTCTCACCTGCTTGGCCTCCTCTCCCTCTGCCTGCATCTGAATTTTCTCCTCTCCATGCATGCACATTACTGCCTCCTCTCCCTCTCACAGCACCTGTATTTGCTCCTTCCCCCCTCCCATCTTCTGGATTTGCTCCTCTCCCTCTCCCAGCACATGCATTTGCTCCTCTCCCTCTTCCAGCACCTGCATTTTCTCCTCTCCCTCTCCCGGAACCTGCATTTGCTCCTCTCCCTCTCCCAACATCTGCATTTTCTCCTCTCCCTCTACCAACATCTACACTTGCTCCCTCTCCTGACCTTGCATC